CACACACTGTACAAGACTCACTTTTATGTCTAGTCTGTGTAGTGTGGCAATGAAGCTTTTGGCCACTTACATGCTACACAGTATCGTTTTACTCTCACTAGGAAGGTTCCCCTCCCAGGAAGGGGCAGAGTCTTCCCCAGCCTCACTCCAGCCTCCATTTTGAATCCGTGCCTTTGGAAAGACTTGTTTTTTCTGGTATTTACAGGATTATGATGGTTAGTCTAAACGATGGGACAGACTCTCAGAGGCCTCCGGGCACACCTGTGGGGCTTATCTTGATTGAGTTAATTAAGGTCGGAAGACCCGCCCACTGTGGGTGGCACCATTTCCAGGTTGGGATCCTGGACTATATACATGGAGGGAGGGAACTTCCAGGGCTGGTGAGTGTGACTTTATTTGGCAACAGAATCCCCGCAAATGAGCAAAGACGAGTCCATGAGGGTGGATCCTCATCCGCTTTGACCGCTGTCCTTAAGAGTGGGGGAAAATGGACATCCAGATAGACACAGAAGGATGACAGTCATGGCCAGGCACAGAGAGAAGGCCATTTATCGGTTGAACGATTCCTAGGCTCCAAGAAGCTAGAAAGTGTAGGCAGAGGTTTCTGTCCCACCACAGCCTGCAGCCATTTGATCCCGAATAAACACACAGAGGCTGATATTAATTAGAACCTGCTTGGCCAATGGTTTGGGCCTCTTACTGGCTAGCTCTCTCTTAACGATTAACTCACGTCTATTGAGCTAAGTATTTCCATATGGTGTCATCTTACCAGAGAGTCTTCTCCCTCAGCAGCTACGTGGTGTCCGCTCTGGCAGCTCCTCTCTGTGTCCTCTCTCCCTGGCTTTCTATTCGTCTGGTTGCCCCGCCTACACTTCCTGCCTGGCTACTGGCCAATCCATGATTTATTCATCAATCAATAAGAGAAATATACATACAGAAGGACATTCCCCCATCAAGAAAGAAAGACAGCAGCTCTCAGAAGTGAACCCACCGGGACCTTGATTTGGAGTTTCTACAGCCAGGAGCTGTGTGCCCATTTCTTACAAAAAAAAAAAACCCAAACAAACAAACAAACAAACAAAAAACCCCACCAGGAAATGAATAGAGCTCTTTAACTCTCAGATTAGTCATTTGAGTTAAGACCAGCAACCGTCCTCATCAGAAGGGTCACCTGGAGTAAATGTACCAGGCGGGTCAAAATTTTAATCCCCAGTGTCCAAAGCTCTGGTAAGTTCTAGCAGAGAGACACGCTTCTGCACACATGGTCAAAGGCTGGCCCAGAGTGGACAACTAGAGCTTGACATCACTGGTTCTGTCCTTTCTGACACTTGGCTTCAACGTGGACCAGTTTTCCCAATGGACACTGGGAAGTTGAGCGGTGCCTCCACCGCCCACAGACAGTCTTCACCTACTGTTTATATTTTCCCCATCACCTGTTGTATGAAACTCACTCAAGAATTTCACCTTGTCCCTGCTTAACACCAGAAGGGAATACTGGTTTTAATTTTGCTCTGCCCAAACAGGTTCCTTTCTCAAAATACTTTCATGGAAGCTTGTGTTAACTGTGGGTCTGATGGCTTCCAGTCAGCTCTGTTTCGTGATGTACTTCCAAACTTTAATTGTGTAGCTGACTACTGTTCAAAGGAAGTTGCAGGGGTCAGCTGGTTCCCTTAAGCTGTCTTCCATGGGATCGGGTGACAAAGAGAAGGAGGGAAGGGAGATTATGTTGGAGGGAGGGGTGTGGAGAATAAGAGAAGACAAAAAAGAGAAAGATTAGAGGAAGAAAAGCAGCCAAGTTTGACGGTACATATACATATGTGTAAGGGAGGTGGGAGCAGGGGGATTGCCGTAAATTCAAGGCCAGCCTGACCTACAGAGTAAGTTCACCATTCAAACCAAACCTGAGCTGCTTTGGGAGACGGTGTCTCAAGAAGGAAGTGGGGAGAAATAATAGTGGCAGTGTAATTCTAGAGGGCTCCATGCAGCTTTACTGTCATCCACATGGGTTGCGATGTCTATCAGGGACCACGCTCAACCCATTCTCTTTCCAGTGAGACTAAGATTATACCGCCGTGGGTATTTCAGTTTTAAAAGCACGATGAGGCCTGATAGTGATACCGCATTAAACACATCTCCTATCGATTCTTTCCAACCTTGCAAAACGAGCTGCCTGCGTTAAGTACCTTTTACTCCAGCCCCGCTGATGGGACCACAGATGCTAACTGCCGGGCTGGCTGTCATCCGAGGTCAGCAGACAGGGCAAGTGCGGAGATGACCGTGGGAGCATCCTCGGGCCAAGGGACTATTTACCCTTGTCACCCTCAATAGAGCTCGAGGAGAAATGTCAGGACAAATCCGAGTCATGGGGAAGCTAAATCAAGCCCTCCCAACTCCCTGCCCACTGTGATGCCAAACCACTAGCGTGTGGGTCTCTTCAAGTAAGGGGTCTGTCGTCACAATTTTAAGGGTTCTGTGGCTGAAGCTCTCTGTTCCCAGTGCGTTTTCTGTAAGTAACGAAATAAACAAGCAGACATAACACTCTGGTCTCATCGGGTCATCTCAAATGTCAGCCATACCACCTCTTTCCTCCTGACTCTCTTCTCCCATGTGGCTGATAACAGACACAGAGCAGTCAGGGACCGAGATGAAGTGTGCCTGTGAATGTCGTTGCCACTGTCCCCAGCCTGGGACCTCTGACTCCATGGGGAAGTGGGTCTCTGCATTCTGGTACTTTATAGCGAGAAGCCACTCACGTCAGACATCCATGATGGATTCCCCCATCCCAACTTACTATCTGCAAGACCTCGGGCTAGTGGTTAGGAGGCCCTGTGTGGTCGTGCGGAAAGCCATGGCAGCATCTGAGGTAACAGCTAGGAGCTGCGGGGGGAGCACACAGCAGAAGCGTCCTCACTAAAAGGCTTTGTTTTACCTGTGCTGCTGCTGGTGGTGGTGGTGGTGCTACTATGGGCATTGGCATTCTCATCTCTAGTTTGAATGGTTTCCTTAAGCATCAGAAATAATCAAATTATAGCAGAGTCTGGGCACTCTCCTTAGGGCCAAAGGAGCCTGAATGCTCATTCTGTGCTATTCAAAGGGTTCTAGAGGGTGCCTTTGATAGCTCCTATTCGTATTGACTTCTTTTGGGTCTGGGAACCCTCTCACCATTAATATTGGCCATAAGGGACTCTAGTCTCTGTGTGGGTGTCAGGTTTTAACACATGAGGCAGTGGTGTGGGTGTGCTGTTCTAGTATCCAGTCATATCAGTACCTGGCTTATTCTTGAGGGAATGTATGGATGGGTGGATGCATGAAAGAGTAAGTGGGAGGGTGGGTGGATGGATGGATGATAGATGGATGGATGGATGATGGATATAGATGGATGGAAGGGTGGATAGATGGATGGATGGATGATGGATAGATGGATGATAGATGGATGGATGGATAGATGATGGATGGATGGATGGATGGATGGATGATAGATGGATGATGGATGGATAGATGGATGGATGATGAATGGATGGATGATAGATGGATGGATGGAAGTCAAGGTTATCTTCCTTAATATTTTTCCTCCGCACACATTGAGTCAAAAGCATTGTCAGGAAGGGCTCTGCAGATGCTTGCTACATTTTCTTTAAGAGTAGAATTCAGAAAGAACGTTTTTCCTGAAGAATAGCTAGGTCACATGGAATTGGGAAGAAAAACGGAGATATACAATTGCCGGATGACCACGCTGGTAAACTCTGAGAGAAGGAAACCACCCAGAATGTGAACTGGGACAAGGAGGGGGCGGGAGACAAAGTGGGGGGAGGAGGTGACCCGGAGCACGGTGGAAAGGGTGGGCGTGCCGCAGGCATGGGCCATATTGCGTGTGGAGAGGCAGCAGCAGTCATGGACAGATGGTATACACGTGCACACATGCGTAGGGAATATGGCATGGATGTACTACTCTGCTTGTGTGGTTCTAGGTCCTACGGCTTTGATTTCCCTGCTGTGGTGGACAGTGACCAGGAGCTGTGAGCTAAAAACCTTTTCCTCCTAAGTTGCTTCTTCTTGGGGGCATTTTATCACAGCAGCAGATGGGAAGCTAAGGGGATGGGTTTTCTATCTCAGGTAACCTGATCTAGGAACCGTCTCACAGGCATGCCCAGTGGCTTGTTTCATAGGTCATCAAGTGTCTGTCAAGTTGACAATACTAACCATCCCATGCAAATCATGGTTGGGTACTCTAACTTGTGTAAACTCTGGTGTGCACGTATGCTGGGTGTGTGTCGGGGGGAGGAGGTGTCTCTGAGTCCCATTTGCCAGAGACACGAACTAAGCTGACACTGGGCAGGTGTGTCTCCGGTGTGATTCATATATCAGTGACATCAGGGGCACAATGCAGAATTTGCCAGAAATGAAAACTCTTGGCTTCCACTCCAGACCTACTGAATCTAAGGTCCTGTAGTCTGGGGCTCCCTCAGCTCCCTGGTGAGTTCTAATGGCTACTTGACTCTGAACACCATTGCCACGTGTCCACGTCTGACACAGGCTGAGGTTTCTTCTCCCCTCTCATCCGCGACAGCGTTTGCTCCTTATTCCCAGCCTGACGGGTGAGAGCTGCAAGTGGCTGAGCTGAGTGTCAGCCGCTGCATGTGAAATGCGTGTGCTCTGTCTCCAGCACGATAACAAATAAACACAACTCAAAAAAAAAACCAAACAAACAAGTGAAAACACAATTTCTCCAAATGGCTTTTGGGTTTAGCAGCCAGCTGATATCTATCCGTGGAACACCGTCTCCCATGAAGTAGTACTTTCGGAGAGCTGACAGTCTGCTGGAATTTAGAGAACGCACTTCTTACAGCAGAAGCGTGAGTGTGGGGCGTTAGGCAGCTCACAAACAGATGGAATCCCCCCCCCCCCCCCGGGAGCTCTGCAGCCCCAACCTGGGTTTGGCTGTGCCCCATGTCCCCCGGGCCAGTTTCCAACTTCTCTGGCCTTCACTATCTTCACTATAGCGACACAGACATCAAGAGAACCATCCTTGCCCAGTCACCATGGGAACCTTTGAAAATGCTTCTGTGCGAAGTGTGAGACATCCCGCCAAGGTTCTGCATTCAGGAATAGAGACTGACTGCCATGAAGAGCGCAAGTGCTTGAAAATGTATCCAGGAGGACCAAGTTAAGCCTTCATCAAGCAAATTACCTGTAAGTGAAAATAAAAGCAAGGGCATATAGGTGGAGTGGTATTGTGTGTGGAGATGGCGCTGCCCACAACTCTGCCTCTGGGATGCTGGGGGGAACCTCTGTTTCTTCAAGGAGCTAATCAAGGAGACACCTTTGCAGAAACTTACTGCTCTGGGGGGTGCTGACCATTTGTTAGTTACAGACAGGGACTTGAATGTGAGAGCCCTGTCAAAACTTAGTGTCTCTTAGGACTCTCCCCGCCTCCACGCCCCCCCCCATCTATCTCCTTTGTGGGCTTGTTTATTATTCAGTAATTTCTGTAAATACCGTAAACATTCTTAGGAAAAGCACAAAGGAGTAGAACCAGACAATGGAATATTAGTCTACGTTACAAAAAGATAAAATTCAGACACATGCCACAATGTGGACAAACCTTGAGGACACTATCCCAAGAGAAGGAAACCAGCTGCAAAAGTCCAAATAATAACGTGACTTCACTAACATGCAGGGGCTATGGCAGTAAATTTATGTGGGTGAGGCCAGGTGTGGTGCGTGTATGGCTATAGTCCCAGCAGGAAGACTGAACTCAATGCCAGCCTGGAGCTCTTAGCATGTTATAGGCCAAACTGGGACATACAGTAAGACCTTGTTTCAAAAATATGCAAAGCCAAAGGGTTCTTGTCAGGGTCTGGGATGAGGGAAGAATGGGGAAGTGTGTTATAGGTCAGTTGAGATGGTGAGCAAGGTTCTGAGGCTGGATAATTATCATGTAAGTGACACCATGATTTGAGTGGGGTCAGTTCCAGTGAACTGTATGCTTAAAGGTGTCGATGTGGTGAGATTTGACATCATAAAAAAGCCAATTGAATGGGTTCTTTTTTAACTTTTCACTTCTTTAATGTGTGTGATATGATTGGTACAATTGTAGAGGTCAGAGGAAAACTTGTAGGAGTTGGTTCTCTCCTTCTGCCATATAGTTCTTAAGGGTTGAACCTAGATTGTCAGGCTTGTCAACAAACACCTTTGCCCACTGAGCCATCTTGCCAGACTGAAATAAATTCCATTTGTTTCCAGAACCTAATAGGTGGTATGTCCCATTTGATACTGTATTTTATCCATATATGTATCTGATTAAGTTCATAAAAATTAGAAGAGAAGAGCAATAACCCCTTCAATTATTGGTGGGTTTTGATTTGACAGTTTGTGGAAACCACTATTGTAAGACAGAGTTTGGAAGCTGGTCTCTTTCTGCCATCTGGTATACCCATCCATGTTGTAGGCATGTATATATAAAATCCATGCCCGTTTCTTAGTTTGGTACTAATGGAGCATTTACTTTTCTGCCAATGATAGATGACCTGCTCACTCCATAGGTTTTTCCTTAGGAGAGCTCATTGAACGCAAATCTCACCTCCATGCTAGTCTAGTCTACCCTACATACAAACACACCACTCACACACACTGCTCACACACCACTCACACACATGCAAGCATGTATGTACATGCTAGTGTAGTCTACCCTCAGTCCTACACACACACACACACACACACCACTCACACACAATGTGAGCATGTATGTACATGTTAGTGGAGTCTACCCTCAGTCTTACACACACACACACCACTCACACACATGTGAGCATGTATATACATGCTAGTGAGTCTACCCTCAGTCCTAAACACACACCACTCACATACCACTCACACACATGTGAGCATGTATGTACATACCTCATGCATGCATGGTACTCACATGTAAATACTAAGAACAGCAAGGATGAGCTTGTGTAGTATTGCAGTCTGCCACCTTTTTACTAAGAAAAGTGGCTATATATGGAACATACTAAACATGATGTGACAGGCACAAAACACAGCAGCAGCTCTGAGTTCTCCTAGGAGAAAACAGTTAAAATAAGTTTGAAAGCTTTTAAAACATGCGTTTGGCGGCTGGAGAACTGGCTCAATAGTTAAGAGCACTGGCTGCTCTTCCAGAAGACCTAGGCTGGAGACTCAGCACCTACACAGTGGCTCACAACCATCCGTAACTCCAGTTACAAGGGATCAAATGCCCTTTGTTCTGGCACCTACAGATACTGAGCAGGGATGTGGCACATATACACAGATGCAGACAAAACATGTGCATAAAATAAAATAACAAGTATGCATTTTTATTGTGTACATTTGGAAGCATGCCAGTGCTTTACGAAATTGCAAAACAAATGCAAAGGCTGCAATCCGTTAACTCAAAGGAAAAATTAAACGAGTGCACCGAGTAGTGACCACAAAGAAGCAATACTCAAAATGGACTAGACCTCCCTTGATGCATTGGGCTGGACTATCGGCAGTGGGATCCATGCCTCACAACCTGACTGCAAAGAAACCTGAAATTGCCTCGGTCAGTGCGCCGTTAGCGAGCCCCTGTGCGGATGTTGCAGTCACGACCTCCGTATCAGTGTAAGCAGCATGACAGATAGCAACAACTCAAGGAAGAAATAGTCCTTTTGGCTCGTGGTTTTGCCTCACCAAGGTGGAGTAGGCATGGTGGAGGGGGTCTGTTCATGGTGGCTGCAGTGTGTGCTGAGTCACAACCACGGGGTGCAGTGTGTGCTGAGTCATAACCACGGGGTGCAGTGTGTGCTGAGTCATAACCACGGTGACTGCAGTGTGTGCTGAGTCATAACCACAGGGTGCAGTGTGTGCTGAGTCATAACCATGGTGGCTGCAGTGTGTGCTGAGTCATAACCACGGGGTGCAGTGTGTGCTGAGTCATAACCACGGGGTGCAGTGTGTGCTGAGTCACAACCACGGGGTGCAGTATGTGCTGAGTCATAACCACGGGGTGCAGTGTGTGCTGAGTCATAACCACGGGGTGCAGTGTGTGCTGAGTCATAACCACGGTGACTGCAGTGTGAGCTGAGTCATAACCACGGGGTGCAGTGTGTGCTGAGTCACAACCACGGGGTGCAATGTGTGCTGAGTCATAACCACGGGGTGCAGTGTGTGCTGAGTCACAACCACGGTGACTGCAGTGTGAGTTGAGTCATAACCACGGGGTGCAGTGTGTTCTGAGTCACAACCACGGGGTGCAGTGTGTTCTGAGTCATAACCACGGTGACTGCAGTGTGTTCTGAGTCATAACCATGGTGACTGCAGTGTGTGCTGAGTCATAACCACGGTGACTGCAGTGTGTGCTGAGTCATAACCATGGTGACTGCAGTGTGTGCTGAGTCATAACCACGGTGACTGCAGTGTGTGCTGAGTCATAACCACGGTGACTGCAGTGTGAGCTGAGTCATAACCACGGTGACTGCAGTGTGTGCTGAGTCATAACCACGGTGACTGCAGTGTGTGCTGAGTCATAACCACGGTGACTGCAGTGTGTGCTGAGTCATAACCATGGTGACTGCAGTGTGTGCTGAGTCATAACCACGGGGTGCAGTGTGTTCTGAGTCATAACCACGGGGTGCAGTGTGTGCTGAGTCATAACCACGGGGTGCAGTGTGTTCTGAGTCATAACCATGGTGGCTGCAGTGTGTTCTGAGTCATAACCATGGTGACTGCAGTGTGTTCTGAGTCATAACCATGGTGACTGCAGTGTGTTCTGAGTCATAACCACGGGGTGCAGTGTGTTCTGAGTCATAACCACGGGGTGCAGTGTGTGCTGAGTCATAACCACGGGGTGCAGTGTGTTCTGAGTCATAACCATGGTGGCTGCAGTGTGTTCTGAGTCATAACCATGGTGACTGCAGTGTGTTCTAGAGTCATAACCACGGGGTGCAGTGTGTGCTGAGTCATAGCCATGGTGACTGCAGTGTGTTCTGAGTCATAACCACGGTGACTGCAGTGTGTGCTGAGTCATAACCACGGTGACTGCAGTGTGTTCTGAGTCATAACCACGGTGACTGCAGTGTGTTCTAGAGTCACAACCACGGTGACTGCAGTGTGTTCTGAGTCATAACCACGGTGACTGCAGTGTGTTCTGAGTCATAGCCATGGTGACTGCAGTGTGTGCTGAGTCATAACCATGGTGGCTGCAGTGTGTGCTGAGTCATAACCACGGGGTGCAGTGTGAGCTGAGTCATAACCATGGTGACTGCAGTGTGTTCTGGAGTCATAACTATGGGGTGCAGTGTGTTCTGGAGTCATAACTATGGGGTGCAGTGTGTTCTGGAGTCATAACTACGGGGTGCAGTGTGTTCTGGAGTCATAACCATGGTGACTGCAGTGTGTGCTGAGTCATAACCACGGGGTGCAGTGTGTTCTGGAGTCATAACCACGGTGGCTGCAGTGTGTGCTGAGTCATAACCACGGGGTTCAGTGTGAGCTGGAGTCATAAGAAAGCAGGAGGAGGAACTCAGTTGCCGAGAAGACTGTGCTCGGCCAGCTCGGCCCCACTTTCACAAGGTTCACTGCCTCCACAAGTGACACCGCTAGTTGTGGAACAAGTATTAAAACCATGAGCCTGGAGGACACTTCAGATTCGAACCGTGTAGGTTTGGGTTTTTTTTCATACATAAAAGATAAAGCATGTGACAATTATGTTTGTGTTATAGAAAAACAGGGTTTTTCTGGGCTGAGGATATGGCTCAGTGGTGAGGAAGCTGACATCTGCCAGAGCCTGCAGGATTCCAGTCCTACAGCTCACAGCTGCCCTCTTCTGGACTCCATGGGCACTGCACTCATGTTTGTACATAATCCCACACAGATACACATACATTAGGATAACTAAGAAGCAAATAAAAATCTTTTTTTAAAGGAAAGTTTTTTTTACACTAGACAAAGAGAATTAAACAAAAAATTAAAGGATTCAAACAAAAGCATATAACTTTAAAATTTTGGTTGAAGGATCTTGAGATTGATTTCTGTATGTATTCCTCTCCAAATGATATGTTCTGGCTTTGTCTCCCAA